CGAATTCACAATGATTTCATCATCAATGATTTAGAGATAAAACTATTCATACGGTAGTTGCTATCAGTGTTTTCTTTTCCATTAAATGTTCTTCTTCACGACTCCAGTTGAAATCAGTGAAACAGCTTCTTTAATAAAGGTTTAGGAGAGCCAACACCAGTAACACTTTATAATAACTACACTCTATGAATCATCTATTAAGCATTAACAAATAGGAAATTCATTATTTGTTTAGCATTAACTACATTAATAGGTATTAGTAAGCAGTTTATAATTGCAGCTACAAATGCTGTATTCTTGACTTAAAAGCACATTTAAATGTGCTTAATAATTATTCTTTTTTACCTTGTTACTGATTAATTTTTCATGACTATAAGTATGGCATTATTTACAAATTGTTTGTATTTAAGAGTACCGGTAGTTGGGTTTTTTAAAGATCATTCAGAATGCGTTAGTAAATGATTAATAAACTATTCAAATCAACATTTCAAATCAGCATTACTCAGGCGTATACTGATAGTTCATTTGTATGTTAATAAATGCTTTATTAACTCCAGTTTTATGTCCTAATCTAAAGTAAGGACTATTTATGCTTTGTAAATCCCCAATAAATAACAATTAAAGGTTCAGTATCAAATGAACAATACATGTTTGCAATCTTACCTAAAACGTAAAATGACTGAAGTTTAAACATCGCTGAGTAACAGGAGTCAAAATATAACATAAAACTGGATAAAATAATAATTTAACAATATATTATGATACATTTCAATGTTATTTAGCTATGTTTAAACTGTACATTAATTTTATTTGAGTTAAGAATGCAAGAATTTCTTTATCATTTGATAGTTTCAAAGCATAAATAGATAATAATAATAATAAAAACATAAATAGTCCTCACTTTAGATTAGGTCACTAAACTGAATGAAGTTAACAAAGCATTTATTAACAAACAAATTAACTAAATATATGCCTTGATAACAAGATGTATAAATGTTGATTTAAAAAGTTTATCATGAACTAACTCATTCTAGATACTTCTTAAAAACCAGCAATTTCTTTTAAATAACTGCTTTGTAAATGATGCAATACTTAATTTAGTAATTAAAAAATAATAATAAGCAAAGTATGAAAATACAATCATTAAGCACATTATAAGTGTGCTTATAAGTCAATAATACAGCATGCATATCTGCAATTATAAACAAATGTCTATTAATGTAGTTAATGCTTAACAGTTAATAAATTCACTATTTGCTAATGCTTAGTTATTATAAAGTGTTACCCAAACACCTAGTCACGCATATGCATAAGACTTTATTGGTGGTTTCATTGGAAGCCCCCAAACCAAAAAAAGGGATCAGTCTGAAAAATGGTAGCAGCAGAACAAAAGCTAGTGTGAAATACAACTCCTAACATTTATACTGCAAAACTTTATTATAAACTGCAGCCGTGGTGTAAAGGATTAGATGAAAGACAGTTCAGACCACAAGCACACACGATTAATGAAATAAAGTATTATATAAATTATGGGAAAACTTTATTTCTTATATTTTGAATTAAAAAAAGTCTGAAAGTCTGTGTCAATTACTCTGTGTTTTCTACCTGTGTGTTGTCCATGTATCCTCAGGTTGTGTGTGCAGGGCTGTCCAGCTGTTGTAACAGATTCTGGATGATGGTCTGGAGTTGTGGTACCAGTCTTTCTGGGCTTGCCAGGCTTCCTGATGCTGGTACATGAATCAATGCAGCCTTTCCCTTCCCATGGTACAATGAATAGTAGTATACAAAATCACACAGGAACCTGCAAACGATTCAGTTGATAATTGTATAACATGCTATCGTTTAAAATTCTTTATAACATTAATAAATGTAATTATTAATTTATAAAGGAGTTTATACATTTTTATGAGCTCTTGGAGTCATATATACTGTATTTGCACCGAGATAATTTTTCTAAAAACCTTTGTTGATCAGTTGAAATAGTCGTACACATGATCTAGGCCATCTGGTTTCTGGTAACACTTTAGTTTTGGGAACGTATTCATTGATTTTAATAAAAGTGTTTTTAATGAATAGTTGCCCCTCACCCTTTACTTTTTTTCAAACCTTTATGGTTTCTTTCTTCTGTTAAGCACAATAGAAGTTTTTTTTTTTTTTTTTTTAATGTTAGAAAGCAATAACCATTGACTTCCGTAGTAAGTGTTTTTCCCACTATGGAAGACAATGGGTACAGGTTTTCAGTCTTCTTTAAAGGGCACCTATCATGAAAATAATCTTTTGGGAACTGTTTGGACAGGACTGTGTAGGTATTGTGTGCTGGCAGTCATATCGGGGTGATATAAAGACAAAAAGTCTTTTTTTTTTATTTCCTGACATTAAAATAGGATCCAAATTCCTCCCATTTTGAGGCTCACCGCAACATGACGTAGAAGTGCGGTTTCCCTGCCCACCAATTTGCTTGACAGCCCTAAATAAACATTTCTCCATAGTAACACGTATTATCATATCAACAAGACAGGACGTGCGCAAAACAACCAGGATTAAAAGATCAGTTCAGCTCTCTGTGATCATCAGTCATCATCAAATGTGATCAACAATGAGTTTTACAAGTTTAAAACGTTTTTAAAACATGTTTAATGATTTACAGCCGCATTTCAGTACAATAGACTTATTTCACGTAGCCGCCATTAAAAAAGCTAAATCGAGGCTGTGGTGGGAAGAAACCCAGAAGTATCACATGAGTCACAGAAATGTTGTGTACCTGGCTGAAAGTGACACAAATGTATCATTTCATCGCCTTCCGAATGTCCTGAAGGTCCGTTCTGAATGGAAAAGGGAAAGAAATGGGATACTTGACCTCATTTTCAGCTAAGTTAAAGGAAATGATACTAGTTAGCTAACGTTTTCTTTGCCAAACACACGTTTTAGATGCCATTTATCAAACTTAAGTTAATGAAGTGATTCCTTCACTGTATTAGACCTGTCACCATACTTTATTTCGTAACTGAAATTTATAAAAACCGTCAATTTCCCACTAACATTTAAGCACTGTTGAACGCAACAACGCAGATTTGCCATAGTGTTTACTGGCGCTCAACAGAAATGATTAGCCGTGGATGACATCAGTTCACCACAGTTCACCGATGTTTACCGAGGGCAAACACAGACGAGCGATCCGCTGATGACTTGACTGATCTTTGCGGCTTTAAAACACTGCAATGTTTGTGCATCTGTGTTTGCACTTGTGAAGAGCGGTCAACTGATGACCTTCACGGCCAATCACAGTCATTTCTGATGAGCACTGGTAACTACTATGGCAAATCAGTTGTGTTTAAGAACGCGCTCAGCAGCACTTAAATGTTAGCGGGAAATGGACATTTTTAAAACTCCCGTACCGGGACAACACTATTACAGACAACATGAGGGTGTGCTACAGAGGACTGCATTGTTTTATCGTTCACCGGGTTACCTATGCTAAAGCAAGCAGGGAGGTCCCCACTGTGTTTACCTGGTGCCATGAACAGAAGCCAAGGAGGACACTCTTGAAGAGATTGTGATTTTGTTTGATGCCTAATATGCTTTTAATTGTGTAAATCAAACAACTGAATGATATTTTAGTGATGTTTACACCATATCTGCACTCTGAAATCGCGGCAATAGCTGGAGGTTTGTAGTCCACAGCATGTTGTTGCAGTGTTTACAATGCAAATCCTATACTTCAGGGTTTCTTCCCACCACAGCCTCCCTTTCGTGTTTTAAAAAGACAGCCGTGTGAAATAAGCGTATTATAAAAGAATACACGTTTGTGGACGTTAAATTAGATTTATTTTTTTACATTAACATAACGGATATCCATACAGCAACATGTACAGTATCCCGTCACATTTACTCTGCGCTCTGTGTGTTTGTGCGCATGTTGTGTGTGACTCATCATCGCAGAAAGGCTTGAATTAACTCCACAACAAATACATCAAATAATCATTGGGAAAGTTCTTGCTGTAGTATTTCTCACAAACGTTACGTGACATCTGCTTCATTTATGTCTGTCACTGTGCTGTTTATCTGACGCAGCCTAGGTGGAGATTGGGCCACACTCTGACAGGCACAAGTGAATGGTGGGTGAGGAGAACTAGCATTAAAGGCACTGGCAAAAAGAGCTACATAGTGTTCAGAGCAGAAAATTCCAAACTTCTAAAGGTATAATAAATAATCTGATGAGTGTTTTGAACTGAAACTATACAGACACATTCTGGAGACACAAAAGACTTATCTTAAATCTTAAAAAAGGGGTAAAATAGGTGCCCTTTAAATATCGGCTTTTGTGTTCAACAAAAAAAAAGTTTGGAGTTTTAGGTGTAGGGTACAGGATACAGGATTTATTTATGCAGAATATGGTCATTCAGAATTAGGCATTAATATGTGCTGTGTAAGTACTAATAATCAGTCAATGTGCAGGCTATTAAGCTATTAATTAATGCATTTAAAGGAATGGTTTACCACAAAAATAACAATCCTGCCATCATTTACTCATTTACTTGTTCTGGACCTGTTTGACTTTGTTTCTTTTGTTGAACACAAATTAAGATAAACTAAAGAATGATGAAAATTAGTAACCACTGACTTTCATAGTATTTACTTTTCCTACTATTGGTATCAATGGTTACCGGTTTCCAACATTCTTCAAAATATCTTCTTTTGTGTTCAACAGAAGAAAGAAACTCATAAAGATTCGGAACAAGTCAAGGGAGAGTAAATGATGACAATATTCATTCAATAATTCATTTTCCTTCGGCTCAGTCCCTTTATTCATCAGGGGTCATCACAGGGGAATGAACTGCCAACTTATCCAGCATATGATTTACACAGCAGATGCCCTTCCAGCTGCAACCCAGTACTGGAAAACATCCATATAACCTCATTCACACAAATAGACTACAGCCAATTTAGTTTATTCAGTTCACTTGTACCGCATGTATTTGGACTGTGGGGGAAACCGGAGCACCCGGAGGAAACTCATACGAACACAGGCAGAACATACAAACTCCACACAGAAATGCCAACTGACCCAGCGGAGACTCAAACCAGCAACCTTCTTTTTTTGGCCAGCAAACTTTTTTAACTATACCTTAAAGTAATACATTTTATCCATTATTCAAATTGTTACTGTAGTTGTTACAGTACCTCCCGGCATCCCTGGAGTAAATGACATCGAGCCCCATACTTTTTAGATGCTTGCCAAGAGACCTCATGTCTATGATGGAGTTCAGTTGTTCTGGTCCTCCCTCAACGCAGCAGTGACCAGCAGGACACAGACCGCTCACATCCTTGTCTTTGTAGCAGTAGTTCTTCCCTGTTTGCTCCAATGTGATGCCTTTGGCCCCTGGGGCTATGCCTAAATGAATGACCATCTGGCCATCGCAGGGGAAAAAGGTTTCAAATCTGTATCAACATTAATATAATCTTAGATGCTATAAACAAAAATATTTAAAGCATCTTGTAGTCTAATCTCTTAAGAGTTTCACCAGTTTCTGGTCTGTGTGTAAATAGTAGTTGACCTGTTTGAAGTTACCTTTGGAGTCATTGTTTGCCAGATGTCATTGAGGACTTGTTGACATTTGGCATAACTGACAGGAATCTCATTGATGTGGATCCCTATGTTCGAGCCAAGTCCTTCCATCTTCAAACCCTGCTCAAATCATAAAATGTGGCCATATACATTAAATCTGAATGTGGAGAATTTATAAATATGTTATTAAAGGCATAGTTCATTTCAAATAAAAAAGTGTTAATTTATTCACCACTGACTAATCTTCATAAATTTTAGTTATTTTTCTGTGACTTGACCTTACATGCAATAGGTGTCTAGAGGTCCTGGGTGGAGCACGTCGTTGAATTTTTGATGTTACTAGGTTTGATCATTAAAACCTCTTCTCAAATTACTGACATTGAATGATCAAATTTAACACTGTTATGAAAAGATTATACTTTTGTCATTATCAGTTAAATCTGTCGTTTTTTGTGAACAATAATAAACATTTACATTGTTAATGTAATGGTTGTGGGTGGCGCAGAGGGTAGTGTAGTCGCTTCACAGCAAGAAGGTCGCTGGTTCTAGCCTCGGCTGTGTCAGTTGGCAAATCAGTGTAGAGGTGAATTGGGCAAGCTAAATTGTCCAAAGTGTATGTGTGTGAATGAGAGTGTATGGGTGTTTCTAAATAATGGGTGACAGCTGGAGCATCTGCGGCATAAAACATATACTGGATAAGTTGGTGGTTCATTCCACTGTGGCGACCCCTAACTAATAAAGGGACTAAGCTGAAAAGAAAATGAATTATGTAATGGTTGTTGTTTGTTGCACTGATCAATCATTCAACTTCAAGATCAGGCATATAAATTTTCTTTTGCAGATGGTGTTTTTGACTCAAGTACCAGTAGCCACTGACTTCAGTTTTATGAATCACCAAAGACCAATGTTTGAAAAATGTATGAAGAAAGAAGTGACCTACATTTTGGATGGCCTGAGGGTGAGTAAATTAACAAGATTTTTTTAGATTGGGTATTTAAATTAATGTCATGTACATGTCTAAAATACTAATTTGGGAAGTTTGTGAAAAATGATACATTTTAATACTAAACAGAGAGAAAGACTCTATTTTGCTTTTCATACCAACGACATTGAGTAAAAATGTAATATTGAGGTAAATAATGCGTTCACACTGCTATTGCTTAATAAATTGTAAAATCAACGTATTGCCCATTGTTTACTTTAAAATGGTCTATGTAGACGACTAATATCAAAAATGTATTTGTTTTACGTACCTTTGCAGCCTCCCAACTTGGATTCACTACATATTGTCGAAAAGGACCAAACCCTAGTACATTAAACAAACAAGCGTCATCTCAAACACAGTAGCAGAGCCGACGACTTTGGCAGAACCAATAATATTTTCCTCATATTTAACGAGGAAACGAAGCCATTAAAACTGATAGCCTGGTTCTCGCATGCGTCAGATTACCAACCCAACCACATACATGTGATAACTACAATTTCGCGTGTAGTGTCCATTATTTTTAAAAACTAAACTCTATATCGCATATTTACACGAGAATAGAGGCACGGTACAAGTAGCTGTTAGCTGATACTTTATCTAAACTGTCTTGATAGGGTTGTTACCTGACGTGACAGTTTGCTCAAGTAAGGGAGTGCATTGTCGATTTTTCTCCACATGGGAGAGCCATCTCATATCCCATCACAGCTAAAGACGTACTCCTTCCAACATCTCTCTTAACGGGACGGAATTTACACAACGCACCATGGCGAAGGACTGAGTCATGAATATTAATACAACGTGCTGACGTTCACAAAGCGTCCAGGCATAGCCTAATCAATATTCAACTGTTTCAGCGAATCTTATAGCCCTACTTGGCGAACGTCGCGTTGCGTCATAAATATTCATGAAGTAAACCGTCACCATAGTAGGACTCGCTAACGGGACATGGGATCAGCTCAAATCCTTCGCACTTGTCCGACTCTGCCTCCGCCCAGCGCTCTTCATCGACGCAGAACACGGATGACAACAAAATATTGATTAGCTTCAAACTTAAACACGTTTAAGCTTTTAGATACTCTCAATTACAACGGGGAAATGTTTCGAATGAGGGAACCGTTTGAAAGCGAGAAGCTCCAGCTGCAAGAGCTCAACCAAAGACTCAGCCACTACCTAATGCGCTCAAAACAGTTGGAACAAGAAAACACCTGTCTGATTAACGAAATAAGCTCAATCAGGCAGAACAGGTCTGGAGAATGGGAAAGCAAGCACATGTCCGAGCTGCGAGAAATGAGGAGACTGGTGGAGCGTTTATCTTTCGAGAAATGCAAAGCGGAGATGGAGCGACAGAAGCTGCGCAATGAACTTCAGGCGCTGCAGGCGATGCGTTCAGATGAAGCCTCGGTCAGCAAAAGCATCGGGACTGAGCTTAAAGGCTGCGAGAGGCAACTTCAGAACGCTATTCAGGGCAACGGTGCTTTGGAGAGTCGTCTCTTTGAGCTGGAAACGGAATACAAGTTTTTGGAAGATTCCCACAGAAAGGAAGTGGCCCACCTGAGGGACCAGGTGCGCTCCAGAACTGTGCGAGTCGTGACTCAAACGCGTCCCGCTCCTCCAGCGGTTACTATGGAGGAGGTGCAGGAGTACGCAAACAACTTCACCGAAAACTGGCAGGGCACCTTGGAGATGTACCGCCTGCAGGTGGAGGAAATCGAAGAGTCGATAAAAGCAGACCACGCGAGGCTGGAGGAGATTCAGAGGGAAAAGAAGGAACACGCTTCGCAGTTCAAGAGGCTGCGTGACGAGATTGAGAAACAAACACACGTGCAGATGAATCTCGAGGAGCAGCTCGTGAACATGCAAGATCAGTTCAGAGCTGAAATCACTCAGTATCAGGTGGGTGTCAAAGCCAAAACACAAGCTGCTCTATTAATAAAACATGGGATAGTTTTCCTGATGTGCGTTGGTGAAAACAGGGATTGCGTAAGGATGTTGTGCTCCTCCAGAAAGAGCGCCACACCCACGGCCCGCACTATGGTGACAGCAGCAGCACTGACACATCTCTGCCGATACACATTGGTGTCCCATGACGTTTTAAAGTATTTGTTGCACAGTTCCCATGGTTATGTAAATCTATAACCTTTTCGATCGTTTCATCCAAATTACCTAGAAACACATGCTAAAAGCTAATTAAATAATATTTTAGAATTAACATATACTGGATAAATATAACATTTTTACTTAAATGTACAAAAATATTACATTTCTGAAGACGAAGTGCCACTAATTTACTGTAAGCAAATCTTAATTTCTGTTCAAATATATTATGTAGTCATTCTAGGGCCATAAATACCTACAAAATAAAAGAACATTTTGCAAACAAAAAATAACGTATTGAGCAAAAATTAAATAAATAAATGCAAATCTCCAAAAATCGCAATGGGAAACTTAAGTTTTGAGAAATGAAAATAAAATTTGCTAACAAAAAAAATCAAGCAGAGCAAAAATAAATGGCAACACAAAACTATATATATATATATATATATATATATATATATATAAACTATATATATATATATATATATATATATATATATATATATATATATATAGTATGTATATATATATATATATATATATATATATATATATATATATATATATATAGTATGTATTTGCAAGACATTTTTTATAGCATTGCCTTTACAAAACCGTAACTTTGGCGTTTACGGTAGGCCCGGACCTGCCTCCATTTAAGCGACCTGCCTCCATTTAATCGACGTCATCACCTGGAGACACAGTGTCACCAAGGTGGTCTTATAGCCCAGTTGGTCTGGGCATGCCGTAAACGCCCAAGTTTCCTTAACTCCACCCTCTTGTCAAATCAGGGCCACAAAGTGAAGTTTTTTACTTGAGGTTTTACACTCAGGCAATGACATTAAAGTAAAAGATTACAAAACGCACAAATAACAGATACCAAGCAGTCATCAACTTCATGTAGATAGACATTATCCAAACACCTGTTCTTACAATAGGCCCCTTAGGAGCACAAGTGAGAAGTGCTTTAGCTCTGCCAATATCCCTGTTTATCATCTCTAGCTCAATGTGCTTTAGAAAAATTGAGCATTAATGCTTTATCCCATGATTGCCTCTCTCCACAGAGAATGACAAATGAGCAGTTACTGAAGCAAAGTGCAAGCATCACTAAAGTGTTGTGTCACTGTGGGCTAAATTGAATGGGCTGTTTGGAGGATGTCAGCTTTGACATATTATTGCAACCAGCCTCGTGCCAAAATATTCAGAGTCCAAATCCATAACAGATAAGCAATTACCCAACAGCCTAATGACGCAGGCCTGTAATAAGCATTTACAAAGACATTTATCAGTCTATAGATTAAATGCGGTGTAATACTATTATGCAGGGTGAATGAAGAAGGATTATACATTTACTCCTGGTTTGCCTAGTTTTGTCATTTTTAAAACCAAACTTAAAATAGAGGAAAAACAGCTTTTGTGACAAAAGAAAATGCAGTGTGTTAGTATTAGATTGGGTAGTTAAGATGATAGAATTCCTACTTATTTAAATAAACTACACTTCCAGAGCAATCATGTGAACTCACCCAGCAGGCACATGACATCATAAGACATTAATATTAGGTTAGATTTTGGTCGTGATATCAGGTGACTAAAATGCAATGTCTAGTCAGCATCTAAGGACAACATTAATTTGATCCAGTGATATCAAATGACATTAATATTTGGTTGACTTTAGGTTGTGTTGGAAAGTGACCAAAATCCAACTTCGAGTTAACATCTTAAACCAACGTCATATATTGACATTAAATACTGACATTCATTCATCAGGTGTGGAAACCAAAATCCAACGTCTGATAGACGTCATAATGGTAACGTCCACACAAAGTCAATCTGTAACATCATTAGACGTTGGTTGATTTTAGGTTGGACATTGAACATTGACTTCAGCCGCACAATGGGTTGACAATGACGTCAACCAGATTCTCAGTTCTAAACAAAATGCAAAGTCCCTACGTCATTGGGGTGCAAGGTCAATGTGACGGCATGTTGACGTTCTGTGCCTGCTGGGCAGCCTTAAGATGGGCATACACTGAGTGAATTTTGAGCCAAATTTTGATTCGTGCTTCTCCTTTTTTGGCTGTCATTGTGCGTAGTTTGTCACGCTGGGTTTAGTCAGTGTACAGGGGGAACAGAGAGGCGATTAACCTCTCCCGACCAGCTAAAAGAAGGTCGGATGAACTTCTGACATGCCAGAAATTTTCCTAGGCCCGGACCCTCAGGAAGGAAACGCATGTTTGAATCAAGAGCTATGAACCAAAAGGTGGAACTCAAGAGTCCTCACCGTACCTACTCAAAAACGACAAAACACAAGCTTCTGGGTTCAGGGGGAGTAATAGTAAAGGATATATTCTGGAATTCACAGGAACAATTAAAAGTGTATGATAAAAGTGTACTATCTTCTTGTCATGCAGGCTATTATTGAGGAACTAGAGTATGAGCGCAGAATGCTGTCCAGCAACATCTCAGATA